GTCTCGAACGGGAACATTGGTTTTGTTGGGGCGGCGGTTTTCGGCGGCGAGCAAGAGCACCGGCTCTGAGTACAGAAAAACAATCTCGAGCGGCAGCTTTGCTTTTGCTGGGGGCGGCGCCCATTCAAAAGAGCGGAGGGCGCCAGTCCAGCGAAAAACGGGAGGAGGTCTCGGGCGGGAGCGCTGGTTTTGTCGGGACGGGGGCTGTCGGCGGCGAGCATCAACACCGGCTTTGAGTTTAAAAAAGAAAGACATCTCGAGCGGGAGCGTTGTTTTTGCTGGGGGCGGCGCCGGTGAGCGAAAGAGTGGCGCGCCAGTCGAAGGTAAAACGGGAAGACGTCTCGAGCGGGAGCGTTGGTTCTGTTGGGGCGGCGGTTTTCGGCGGCGGGCAAGAGCACTGGCTCTGAGTACAGAAAACAATCTCGAGCGGCAGCTTTGCTTTTGCTGGGGATGGCGTCCATTCAAAAGAGTGGAGGGCGCCAGTCCAGCGTAAAACGGGAGGAGGTCTCGGGCGGGAGCGCTGGTTTTGTCGGCGCGGGGGCTGTCGGCGGCGAGCAAGAGCACCGCCTTGAATAAAAAAGGGAGGAAGTCTTGAGCGGGAGCGTTGTTGTTGCTGGGGGGCGGCGCCGATGAGTGAAAGAGTGGCGCGCCAGTCGAATGTAAAACGGGAGGACGTCTCGAGCGGGAGCGCTGGTTTTGTTGAGACGGCTGCGTTCGGCGGCGAGCAAGAGCACCGGCCCTGAGTCAAAAAGAGGAAGTCTCGAACGGGAGCGTTGATGTTGTTGGGGGGCCTGTTTTGGCGGTCCCCCAAACCGCTTGGGAGTGAACATCATTTTCAATGAATTTGCAGCCGGCGCCTCGGAGAGAGCGCCAGGCGCCGATAATGGGTCCAACAATGATACCTGCTTTGTAATTAACACTCAACAGCAACAACAACAATCCCCCCAACATCAAAAACAACAACACTAACACCAACAGCAACAATCATTCTAAAGCTGTTCGCTCTTACTTGTCCGCGTGTCATTCAAAAAGAGTTCCCCACACCCTCGATACCCGCCCTTTTCCTCTTCGATCACACCCCCTTTGGGGGGATTATTTCTCTTTGCGGGGGGCGGCGGTCTTAGACAGGCGGGCAAACCTGAACGGGCGGACAATCCTTCGTGGGCGTACATGCGCCCGCCATTGGAATGTGTGTGGGCCCTGCAAGAAGAGGAGGGGGAGAACGAGGGAGAGTGGGAGGAACGGAGGGGGAGGGACGAAGAGGGAAAACGCCAGGAGAGAAGGAGCGAAGAGGGGGGCGAGAGAGAGAGAGAGAGAGAAAGAAGAGAGGGAGAGAGAGAGAGAGAGAGAAAAGGGAAATATATACAGAAAGAGGGAGGGAGGAGGCAGGAGAGGGGAGGGAGAAGGGAGGAAGGAGAGGAGGGAGAGGGAATAGGGCAGAGAGGCATAAGGATGAGGGAAGAGAGGATGGAGAGAGAAGGGAGGAGAGAAGGGAGGAGGAGCAGGAAGGTAAGAACGTGAACGTTCGAGGAAGTCCTAAGCGAAAACGCCGTTCCTGAAGGAAGTCTCGGGCGGGAGCCCACGACGGGCGGGCGATCCTCTGACGGGCGGGTCGGGCGGGTGGGGCATTCAAGCGGGATGCCTAAGTATGGCGAGAGCGCGATTACTAAGTAAATTTCAACGGCGTCCTTGGCGCAGCGTGTTTCTTGAGCGTCGAAAGCGCGATGTCTGAATACATTGTACGCAAGTCACAGGCGAGAGCGCAGTTCCTGAATAAAATGTGACGGGCTCTCTGGCGGGCGCGGGGGTCTTGATTAAATTGCGAGGAAGGCTTGACCCAATTGCGAGGAAGTCTCAAGCGGGAGCGCCGTTCTTGAGTAAATTGTGAGGAAGTCTCAAATGGGACCGGGGGTCCTGACTAAATTGCGAGGAGGTCACAGGCGGGAGCACCGATCCTGCGTAAACTGTGAGGACTTCTTACGCGGGAACGGGGGTCCTCATACATTTGGAGGACGTCTCAAGCGGGAGCCGTTGTTGTTGTTGTTGCTGCTGTTGTTGTTGTTGTTGTTGAACCCTCATTCTTGAAAAATAATTATTGCTGATCCCCCCCACCGGTGCACATTGATTTTTTTCAATTGAGATGCCCCCCCAGGGCTCGCACCTTGTTTTCTGTCAAGGAAAATCTTCCTGCTCAAACTGGCCCCCTGGCCCCCGGGTTACAACAACAACGGCTCCCGCTTGAGACTTCCTCACAATTTAGCCAGGGCCCCCGCTCCCGCCCGAGACTTCCTCGCATTTTGTTCAAGAATCGCGCTCTCGCTTGGGACTTCCTTACGATTGATTCAGGAATCGCTCCTCCTGCGCTCTGGAGTCGCGCTCTCGCTGGAGACTTGCTTGCAATTTGCTGAAGAATAGCGCCCTTGCGTTGGAACCTCTTACAATTTACTCCAGCGCCGCGCTCCCGACATCCAGGCACCCAGGAGTCGCGCTCACGCTTAGGACTCCTTCACAGATTACATAGGAATCGGGATCTCGCTGCCCTTCGTGGCCCCGTTGCAGCCCTTCGTGGCCCCCTCGCTGCCCTTCGTGGCCCCCTCGCTGCCCTTCGTGGCCCCCTGGCTGCCCTTCGTGGCCCCCTCGCTGCCCTTCGTGGCCCCCTCGCTTTGTTTCGTGGCCCCGTTGCAGCCCTTCGTGGCCCCCTCGCTTTGTTCCGTGGCCCCGTTGCAGCCCCTCGTGGCCTCCTCGTTGCCCTTCGTGGCCCCGTTGCAGCCCTTCGTGGCCCCCTCGCTTTGTTTCGTGGCCCCGTTGCAGCCCTTAGTGGCCCCCTCGCTGCCCTCCGTGGCCCCGTTGCAGCCTTTCGTGGCCCCGTTGCAGCCCTTCGTGGCCCCCTCGCTGCCCTTCGTGGCCCCGTTGCAGCCCTTCGTGGCCCCCTCGCTTGTTTCGTGACCCCATATATGTATGCCCTTCGTGGCCACCGCTCGTTCTCGCCCGTGGTGGCCCCATATGCATGCCCTTCGTGGCCCCGCTGTCGCCCTTCGTGGGCCCCTCGCTGCCCTTCGTGTCCCCGTTGCTGCCCACAGCGGCCCCGTCCTTACCCTCCGCGGCCCAACATACGTATGCCCTTCGTGGCCCCCGCTCGTTCGCGCCCGTTGTGGGCCCATGTGCATGCCCTTCGTGGCCCCGGTGTCGCCGTTTGTGGCCCCCTCATTGTCCTACGTGGCCCAGGTGCTACCCTCAGTGGCCCCATCGTTGCCTTCTGTGGCCCCGCATTATCTGCCCTTCGTGGCCCACGTTCGTTCGCGTTCTTCGTGGCCCCATGCGCATTCCCTTCGTGTCCCCGCTGTCGCCCTTCCTTCGTGTCGTGGCTCTGCTGTCGTTCTCTCTCGCTCTCGCTTTCGCTCGTCGTCGTCGTCGCCGTCGTTGCCGTCGTCGTCGACGTCGTCGTCGTCGTCGTCGTCGTCGTGGTCGGTCCCCTGTCCGTCCCTCTTGGGGTCGGGTCGACGGTCCGCGGCCGCCCCGCCGATCAGCGCTGCCGCTGGCCAGGCCGACGGTCCGCGGCCGCCCCGCCGCTTGCCGGGGCCCGGCCTGCAGGGAAGAAAGGTATACCCCCCCAAAGGGGTTCGATCGAAGACGAAAAGGGCGGGTATCGAGGGTTTGGGAAATTCGCGTGATTCGACACTCGAGCACATAGGGGCGAACAATCTTAACATGACTGTTGTTGTTATTGTTGTTGTTGTTGTTGTAATCCAGGGGGGGCCAGGGGCACAGTTTGAGCATCATGACTTTCCCTGTCAAATAACAGTGTGCGAGCGTCGAGGGGCACATTTTGATAGAGAAAAACAGTATGCAACGTGCGGGGAATCAGCAATATTTTTTCTTCTGAAATGAGAATTCAACCACAACAACAACAAGAACAACAAAAACAACAACAGCAACGACAACAACAACAGCCACAGCAACAGCAACAGCAACAACAACAACAACAGCAACGCAACAAGCAGAACTCTCACCACGAATTCAATATTCAGCCACGCACCCAGGGACAATGAATGGCCGCTCGGCCCCCTCATTCTGACTTCTGGCGCGGGTTTGCTGACGGATTCAGACCCCCAAAATTACGGGGAACATAATGATTCCCCCGCGGAGACCACTGCAGGTGATCGGGGGGGATGAGGATACCTGATGATGATGATGATGATGATGATGATGATGATGATGATGATGATGATGATGATGGTGATGATGATAATGATGATGTGAACGACGAGGAGGGGAGTGACGAATCTCCTTGTCAGCCGAGACCTCAGGGGGGGGGCGGTTAGTATTGAAGACCCTCTGAGGTTTCGTTGATCGATGTCCTCCAAGATGGCCCCCGAGGCTCCCAAGAGGGCCTCAAGAGTGCCCCCACCCGGCAAGAGCGCCCCAGCAGCGCCCCCACGAGGACTCCAAGAGAGGCAACCCTGATCGGCGCCGCCCCCTCTTCCTCTTTCTCTGCCCCCCACCTCCTCATCATCCCTCTCATCCTCATCCTGCTCCTCCTACCCCTCCTCCTCCCACCTAGGGTTCACCAGTAGTTGAATGAGAACGCGCTCCATCAATATGCTCTTCCTTGCGCTCGCCTTCCTTCTCCTCCTCATCCTCCTTCTCCTCCCTCATCATTCCTCCTCCTCCTCCTCCTCCTCCTCCTCCTCGTCCTCCTCCTCCTCCTCCTCCTCCTCCTCCTCCTCCTCACGCCTCATCATTGTCCTCCACCCTTCATTCTGCTTCTGCTTAAGCTGATTCAGCACTTCGATTTGACCGGCTTCGCTAGCTCTCTGTTCCACTGCATGCTCCCCCACTGATTGGGCTGGTGGATACACCAAGCGTCAAGGATTACGAGTTACAACGAATCGGTTGGCCCGAGGGGGTGGACTAGAGGCTTGGCCGGCAGACTGTGCTGGAGGGTTGGCTTGGAGTGATCCGACCTCCGACCGGCAGCGCTTCCCATCGCATCAGTTAGACTCTTTCTCATGCGAAGGCCCCTCCCCCAGCCAGAGCACCCTACGCAGGCGCCTCGGGCAGAGGCTCCGCGGGCGCGTCCAGCCGAGGCCCCGCGGTCGCCCCTGGCCGGGGCTCGCCGGCCGCCTCGGGCCAGGGCTCGGCGGCCGCTCTCAGGCGAGGCTCGGCGGCCGGCTGCGGCCCAGGCCCGCCCGAGGCGCCCGCTGGCCGAGGCTCGGCAGGGCCCCCGGGCCGGAGCTCGGGGGCCGCCTGCAGCACGGTCAAAGCAGCTGGCGCCAGTGGCACGGTCGGCTCGGGGGCCGAGGAGGCCTCCTCGGCGCCGCAGTCGGGCCCGCGCCGCTCCGCGGCCGCGGCTTCCATCTCGAGGATGTAGTCCATGATCGAGGCGGCCGCCGCCTCCGCCTCGCCCCCCCCGTCCTCAAGGCACTCGGCGGGGCCCCCAAAGGAGGCCTCGCCGTCGCCGCCGCCCCAGGCCGCGGGAGGGGGCGCCTGGGCCTGCTGGCCGCAGCCGCTGCCCATGGCCTGGGGGTCAGCAGGGTGTGTGCGGGTGGGAAGCATTGCGCTTTGGTCTGAGACGCCCCTGCTGCCCCTCCTGCTGCCCCTCCTGCTCCCGCCCCCCCGTTGCTGCTGCTGCTGCTGCTGCTGCTGTTGCTGCTTCTGCTGCTGTTGCTGCTGCTCTTGTTGTTTACTCCTCACTCCTGATACCTGAAACCCTGACTCCTGGTTGTAATCCTTCTCCTCCTTCTGGCACGTTGAGGCGCGCTCGAATGCCAAGTGCAGCCTGGTTGGCATTATGATATTTTCCAAGGGCCCCCCCGTCCAGGCCGCACCTCGCCGCGCGCACCGCCCCCACTTCCCGAGGCTCTGTCGGCGCCCAGACACGTCCATGGCGGTCTCCAACAAGGCCACCAAGGCCGCCAAGATAACCGAAGATAGCCCCAAAGAAGCCCCGAGAGCGCTCCAAGTGGACCCCCACGACGGCCCCAAGAGGCAACAATCAATGATGTTCATTGTGTTTTCGATGTTTTCAGTGTATCCCCCTTTCAAGCTTCCGACGCTCCAAGACGGCCCCAGGGGCCCCTATGACAGTCCCAAGACGACCCAAAAACCACCCAAGAGGGTCCCTAAACGGCCCAAGAGAGCCCCCAAACGGCCCAAGAAGCGCCCAAATAAGCACAAGAGAGCCCCAAGACGGCCCAAAGAGGGGGAACACGAGCCGACAACTCCAGCCTTTCGCCCGAAGAAGCCTCCGGGAGACCCCAAGAGGCCTACACGGAGTCCCAAGGCGCCCCCAGGAGGCCGCCAAGACCAAGAGGACTCGAAATTGCCTCCATCAAGCCCCCAAGAGGGCTCCCACGTTACCCCCAAGATCATCATCAGCAGCATCGTCAGCATCATCATCACCACCAGCATCATCATCACCATCATCATCAGCATCATCATCACCACCACCATCACCACCATCATCAGCATCAGCATCATCATCAGCAGCATCGTCAGCATCATCATCACCACCAGCATCATCATCATCATCATCGTCATCATCATCATCATATTCATCATCATCACCATCCGCATCATCATCATCATCACCATCTCCATCACCATCATCATCATCATCATCATCATCTATAGCAGCATCATCACCATCATCCTCTTCGTCGTCGTCATCGTGATAAGCAGCAGCGGCCTCATTTTGACACTAATCATCACCAGCACAATCATCACCATCACCATCACCATCATCAACAGCATCAGCTTCAACAACATCAGCAGCATGACCATCATCATCATCATGATTACAATGATGATCATCATCATCACTGTCATCACGGCCATGATCATAATTATGACAACTATCATCATTTTCCTCGAAGTTAGGACCAACATCTGATGTAAAGACATGGCGCGCAATGAACTCAGACTTCAATGATCCGTCGCAGAGAGCCAAGTGTCTCGCATTGCCCCGCATGGGCCGTGCTGCCAGGGTGTTGCGCAGAGGGGCCTCCTGCGCCGCGCATGCCGAGCAACGTGAATGTGCTAGCTGAAAAGATGTTCCGCCGCTTCGTCTTCGGCGTTTGTATCGAGCTCGAACTTAGGTGGGGCCTCCGCCTCGAATAGCTCCTGTGCTGGCGCGACAGGAGGATGGGTTGGAGGCGCGACGGAGGAGGGAGGGTACACAACCGTGACTGTGCCGCTGCATGCGGGGAGGTCTCCGCCTCGAACAAAGATGAGACGGCGCTGGATTGCCTCCTCTCCTCTGCTGCCTGCATCATACCATGCAGGTTCATTCTGGCGAGAGGCCGTGCTCGCTGCTCGAGGGTCTCCAGCCAGTGGCCTACTTCTTCCTCGAGCCATCCCGCTGGGGCCGCGCCTCTGTGATGCACCGCTTGGCCCTCGGCCAGGCTCGGCCCTCCCATGTGGGCGCGCCGATCGCCAGCTTTGTCTTGGTGCCGTCGCGGCACTTCTCCAGGCGTACGAAGGAGGTGACGTCGAGGAGATCCCCCTTGCTGATCTCGGCCCCCGCCTTGATGTCCTCGGGCTCCGCTCGGAGCAGGTAGTTGCGGATGGCCCCCTGCATGGATCCGCCCACGTCGCACTTGCGCAGTCCTGCCAGGGCCGCGAGCGCGAGGGACGGGGCTGGGGGCCCTATCTCCTGCAAGCGTTTCTTGTCCTCTGGGGCGCCGCTCTTCCTGAGGGAGTCCAGGGTGTGCTTGTAGCCCTCGGGCTCCTGCGTGATGGCTATGATCACTGGATGCTCGTTGCCCATCGTGTAGGTGTCCGTGCTGATGCTGATGTTCAGCCTGGTTTTGTGTGTCGCCTGGAGCTGCAGCTTCAAGGTCGACCGTGGCAAGTCCATCCAATTCTTGTCCTTGCTGGTCCAGACCTTGGGGTTGCGATTGCCTCGGCGCCCGCGGCGTCCTCCGCGGCGAGCTGGGCGTCGGCTGGACTTGTCGGTCTTCTTGTCCTTCTCGCCGTTGTCTTCCTCGTCCACCTCGATGGGCGTGGCTGCTGGCGCGGCTGTTCCCCCTTCCTCGGCTGGTGTTCGCGGTGATCGAGATCGCCTCTGCGTTGGCGGCGGCGGGCCTGGCTGGCGTGGAGCCGCTGTCCCCTTCTGGCCTGCAGCGGCACTGGAGGCGGCGCCAGAGCCCTTCGAGCCCTGGGAGGAGTCCAGCGGGAGTCGCCACGACGCTCTCTGCTTGGGCGCCATCCCCTGGTCCAGGAGGTAGCACAGGAAGGGTAGGAGTAGAGGAAACAGTAGCCACTCGAGGTGCCCCTTGCGATGCTGCATGTACTTCTGCTGCTGGACGCTGTGCTGCTCGTAGCCGTCGTAGTGGTCGGTGCCTCGCTCTGCTGCGTGGGCCGCTGCCTGCGATGTGTTCCACCGACTGACGGATGGTGGCGCGCCCAGCGGGGGTGTCGTCGACGGCAGGCGAGGGGCGGCAGCTGGATGGCGCGGGACGTGGCGGGTGGGCGCTCGGGGTGACCGCGCGCGTGGTAAGCCTTCTGACGACAGGCTTGAGCATGGAACCCGGCGGCGGCGGTGGTACATGTCCTAGGACGTGAACTCGAAGCTTTTGCTGATCATGATATTCAGGTTGGCATGCATGGTCCAGCGCATAGTCTCGTAAAGGACATGTAGTACATGTTGCTGGGACCCAGGGGTATACATGACGCGTAAGATCTGGGATGCATCTGCCTGCGTGCCATGCTCGTCGTAAATGTCTAGCTGCGTGATCTTGATTTGGGAATGCAGTTTGGCACAGAATACATGTGTTGTCGATCTGTAACGTGGTCAATACCGCTGGCATACCGTGTCCTAGGCTCTTAGATGTGGTTTGATGTGTGGCGGGCTGTTTGAGCGCCCCGAACCGTTTCTGGCACGACTCGATGTTGCACACGAAGGGGCGGTTCGTCTCGTCATCGGTGTCCGCCTCGTCGTATGCTGACGCCGAGGGGAGAGAGGAGGTAGTCACGCTGGCCTCGGGGGGAGCCCACTGAGTCGTCCAAGTGGATGCCCTGAGAGCCCGAACGTCGCAGCTCAGAAAGGCCTCTCGAACCCACTCGTCGTCCCATAAGTTTTCTACAACTCGAGGTTGCCACGCTTCCTGAAAGCTCTCGCCAATCGTGTGAGACGATAGGCACATCAAATCGTCCGCGAGCTGTTTGGCCCACGGGTGCACGTTCGGGTCTGCGGAGATCTCGCCCTGCGAGTTGAGGGTGCCCGCGCTGACGGGGCGGTTCCTTATGGCCGCCTGCTGCTCGAACTAGCACCTTCCCCAAAAAAAAAGCAGCGAGAAAGTGGCCTTGATGAGCGTGTGATCCAATGATGCCCTGCCACCAACTGAGCCAGCGCACGAATAATTCGATGGCAGTCGGTGCAACTTGCCATTCAATAAAAACTTGTCGGGAGGACAGGGATCGATGAGTGTTGTTCTCATCCTCCTTGTGCGCCGTCCCTCGCATCATTGATCGCAGTTTACGGGCGAACGAACTGTCGAGTCTATGGAGCTCTCTGGGGGTCAGCGCATAGCTTTCGAGGCCCGACTAGACCCTCCCCGCGACAGTGGACACGAACGCGAGTCGTTTGGCCTTCCAAGGTCCTCCAGAATACCAGTAGTTGCCCAGACGGCACCACCCAGTCTTTCCCGATTGTGTGCGGGCCTCGACTTCACGACGATTGTTGTTCGCGACATGTACATATCCTCCGAGACGAATCAAGTCCTGGACCGCATTCCCAGAGATGTTCCGTTCGGCCTCCTTCGTAGCCCCGTGGGTGCCCAGTGAGAACAGGGTGTCCTGCTTACTGGTGTTCTGTGCGTAGCCGCCAGCCACGAGGGCCCGGGAGAGCGTGTTGTTGTCGACCTTTTCAATCTGCAGCGCCTGGAGGGACGTGCCATCTGGCACCAAGAGGATCTTGACTACATCGCCGATGAAGCCCCAAGATGCGCATCATGCTCTTCACCAGTGAAAGGGCAATGTGCCTGAAACGGGTTCCCCTGGACCTGGGCCATCTCCTGTGACCACTGCACACTTAATGGATAGAATGGTCCCATGAAAAGTTCAGGCTCGTTCGAGTCGCCCATCCTCCCTCCTGTCCCTGGCCGAAGAGCTATGCTGGCATCAGACGCCTGCAGAACAACTACAGCATCCTGTCGGTGCTGCTCCAGGAGGGGATGAAAATGTTCGTCTTCGCATCGGAGTGTGTGAGCTGCGACCAGTCGCTCGTGTGAGCCTGTCGCGAATGCGTTCCGCATGTCGTACGACTTACACAGAAACGAAATGCTGGCTGCTCTCATCTTCCATATCAAAAGCTTAGCAATAAGCATGAGCGGCTCGCGGCGACGGGAATGAATGCCTCCGTGCGCCCACGGTGGTCGGTCGAATTGGGTTCCATACTGAATGGGTCCTATCCTGTGATACAAACGCCAGAAGTGATCGAAACAATGAAGTAAACGCACGCATGCATGAATATCCTGAATCACGTTGCCAGTGGGGCTTTTCCCTTTCTTGCCGATAGCGACCGCCTGACTAGTGAAAGCCTGGGCGGGTAGAGATCCACATCGATGGACGCGGGCAAGTAGTGCGACGAAAGTCTGGTTGATGGTGGAGCCGACGTCATGGTCAATCGCGAGGTCCCGTCGACTGGGTTGGTAGACTCGCTCGGCGAGCGGGTCTGCGTACTGATAATCTGCGGTGCCATGTCCCATCCCTGCCCTTTGAACGCCAGGGCGGGTCAGATACTGCGGGGCGAGGAGCATGGTGGCGAGTTCGATGGGCCACGCCTAAGGTGGGTTGTAGCGCCTCCGTGTTTCCCTCCACAGTCGTTTCTGCAGATGTCCGAGCTCTTCTGCTGCTGTCTCGACGTCGTGGAGCTCGGGGGCGCCGATGTGCCCCCCCCACTGGATGTATGTCGTTCGATTGGGCTAGTAATCGTGGAATGGATGTCGGGCCGTCGATATACATACTGACGTAGGCAGGCGTGGCCGAAAGTCCCCCTTGAACAGCTGGTTGAGTAAGGGCATCTGTGTATTCGGCTGCGGAGGGGGCGCGTGGATGATGGCGAACGGTATGGTCATCGTCGCGGTCCCGCCCGTCGTCCTGCTCGAATGCACGTCAGGCGTGCGACCCGGGGGAGGTCGCGTGTAGCCCGCGCGTCGCGGATGTCCTGGTCAATACTGACTTTCCACCAGTGGTCCATCCAGCGTTGGTGCGTTCGCATTTGTCGTTGGATCTCGCGCAGGGTCTCATGGTTGAAAGGTAGTCGTCGGGCTCGGTAATCGGCGCGCTCTTTAAGCAAGCGGAGGCGTTCAAGTCGTGCTTGTTGGTGCCATTGTGGCTGTCCCCCTCCTTCCGTTGTATAACACTTACGGCCGCATTCACGAGTGATATGGGCGATGAGAGCGTTGTGGCGGGTCGGAAACTGATCCATCTTGACCACTCGGATGACCTCCCTGTGTTTGCTGATCTCGGCGTAGACGTCATTGAGGAAGGCGGCGCGGTGGGCGCCCGTTTGGAACCCAGCAGCAAGAAGGCCGAAGTCCCAGCGGATGTTATTGTTCTTGATGTTGGCACAGCTGACAGACATCTTGATCTGCATGATCATGGGGACGTGATCGGCAACGTGCAGTAGGCTGCGTAGTTTAGCGTGGATCTTCCAATTCAACTTCACGTATTTCACGATCTCCATGAGGTTGTCGTACCCGATGAAGTAGTCGATGCGTGATCTGGCTTTGTTGGGCCCGTAGTAGGTGTTGCCCACGTCGATGTGCGTATTGATGGCTGTCAATTGATGGATCGGCATCTGGTCGTGGATAAAGCGTCCGAACTCGGTCTCGTCGCTGGCCTGGTAGCTGCCGATCGCATTGTCAGTATGGAGCTGTCGTGCCCGTCGTCCTAATCCTTGGTTGAGGTCTGTGAACATGATGGGTGTGACGCGCGTGGGGGTGTTAGTAAGTGTCTGCAATGCCCAGCTCCATATTCGTCGGCATCCTGCTTTCCAATGTTGGTGTTGGCCCGCTCCGTTCGGCCTTGGTGGAAAACACGCCACAATGAGTCGAATGCGGAGCTGGCCTCGATGGAGCTCGACTGCGCCTGCGCGGCCCCGTAGGTCGGGTTGGGGAGGGTGTAGTACTTTGACAATATCTATATTTCGGAAGTGGCGCTTAGATACCGCAATGCTGCAGCCCGCTGAGCTATTTGTGCGGGCCCCCCTGCCCCATCCGAAGTGGACCCATGTGTGGTGTAGGCTGTCCTCAAGATGGTGCGGGGCGTCGGTAGTGCGTTGGCGTATCTTGGTGCCCACGTACATCATGATCTGTATAGCACGGCACGTGTCGGAGATGTGGTCGAGGCGTCCTGGTACTCCCTTGAGTCAGAACGGGTTCCATCCCAATATTGCGATGGCCTTCTTAGTGGCTTGGTGTGGGCGTACGTCAGGGTCAGGGCGGCGTGGGGGTTCCAGAGGGCCAGGCGGGGGGGCGTCGGCGGGTCGTCGGGCTGGAAATTGATGTTCAGGTCGTTCGTCGCATGGTTCCCGTTCGTGTCGAAAATCAATTCCAGGTGGTAATTCAATGTCAGCGCGCCATTGTTCCACTGGTGGCAATTCATGGTATGCGTGGTGCGATCATGCATGTACTGGCCCGCCGCGTCCGTGTTGTTGTTGAAAGTGAAGCTCAGCGTCCAGCGATTCAAGATCGGCTTGTTGTACTCCTGCACGTGCTGGCCCTCTATGTTCGTGGTGATGTTGAAATTGATGCTCTGCTTCCAGTGGTGGTCCTTCGAAAACTGGGAGTGGATGTGGTGGTGGTGATGCTGGGGTCGGGGCTGGGCGGCGGCTGTAGCGCGGGACTCGTGTGCGTCGTGGTGGGCTCTGTAGTTCCCGTGCTGCAGCATCGGCGTTGTCGTCTGGCTGGTGGTCAGGTGCCATGCGTTCGTCAGCGAGCAGGTCCTGTCGCTCAGCAGGTGCGCGGCGCCCGCGCTCTGGAGCACAGCCTTGGCGGCATGGCTGTCTGCGGGGTGTCGTCAAGCGGCCCTCTGCCTTTCGGGCAAAGGCGAGAGGGCGGTGACTGGAGGCCGCTGCACCTTCGGTGGCCTGAGCCTCGGCGGCCTTCAACTATCATCATCATCATGATGATCACCATCATAAGCATCAGCATCATCATCACCACCATCATCATCATACGAATCATAATCAGCAGCACCATCATCACCATCATCGTTAACATGATGTTCATCCCTCGCAAGCACGGCCTCGGGTGCCCCCCCATCGAAGGAAGGCCTCCGAGCAAGCTGGGCTGGCACGGTGGCGGGAACGCAGCTAGAACATTCCTCCCTGTCGCACCCCGGGGCGTGTTGGTAGGGCGGAACGGGCATTTCTCCTGAGACTTCCTTGCTAATCATGAATATTAAACAAATTTGCAGGAACTCTACGGATGGAGGGCGAGCCGCTTTCAAAACGTTACTGTTGCTTTAGCGCCTCGAACATTCGTTGTTCCATAAATCCACAAAGCTTCACGGATGGAGGGCGGTCGACGACGTCGACGTCGACGCCGACGACGACGACGACGACGACGACGTCGACTGTCCGCACCTTCGTGGGCGGGAAACGTATCCATATCCACGGCATCGCGGGCTGGGCCCCTGCGGCCGCGACCAGAGCTGTTTCGCGGATGCCCCGCGCGGAACGTATCCATGCAACCGCGTACCCACGGAACTGCGCCCCGGAATCCGGGCTTGGAGATGGATGCGTTTGTCCGCCGCTCGCGACACTGGCTCCGACTCGAGCCCGCCAGCCTCCTCCACCTCAAAAGAGGCCGGCCGTGGCGCGAACCGCTTCGCGCGCTCGGCCCGGCGCCGCTCCTCCTCCTCGGTCAGCGAGATGTCCATGCCCAGCGCCTCCCCGGGCGAGGTCGCCTGCGTGGCCTGCCCACGCGGCGACGGGAGCGCTGCGATCTGCGCCCTCGCGGCCGCCATGCCCAGGACTGGGAGCGCCGCGATCTGCGCCTTCGTGAGGAGCGGGCGGGGGCGCAGCTCCTCGGCGCCGTGCGCGAACAGGCACTCGGCGCCCCGCGGGCACTTGGGCCACCGGTGGCACGGCTTCGTCTTGTAGAGCGGGTGCAGCTTCCCGCTGGAATTCTTGGGGTTGAGGGCGGCCGCGAAGCGCTGCGCCCAGTGCCCGGCGCGAGCCCTGGCGAACTCGAGCCTGGCACCCCGCAGCGCGCCAGCGAGCGTCCCCTCCTCGAGGGGCTCAGTGCTGCCGTGGACGCGGAACGCGCCGTCCTGCACCGGGAACCCCTTCTCGAGGAGCTCCTTCCGCACCTCGCCCAAGATCCTGCCACGCGGAACCTCGCACCAAACTGGAACCGTGACGACCACCCGTACGCCGCCATCCGGCTGCCGCAGCGGGCCCTCCTCGCCGGCCTCCGGGCGCCACTCGCCCCACTCCTGGGCCTGACCCTGGGCCTCTGGGTCGGGTCGGCTAGCGGACGGGCTCAGTCGGCGGCGGCGTAGGTCGCCACCATCGTCGTGCTCGTCCGCTCCGCGGATTCGCTTCTGCTCGGCGGTTCATAGGTGGGGGGGGCCATGAGGGATGGGGCCCTGAGGACGTGGGGCCTCAAACTGGGCAATTCAGCCTGGGATCCCTTTCCTTTCCGTGGGGCCCCATCCCTCAGAGCCCCACCTTTGAGCCGCCGATCTGCAGCGCAGCCAGCGCCTCCTGGATTGATCCGCCACCGGCTGCGCCCGCGCCCCCAGCGGCGCCCTGGGCACCTGCGCCGCCATCCGCCACAACCCTCTCGCCGCCCTTGCCAGTAGCCGAGGTGGACCCCTTGGCGTCGACAGCTGCCAGCCCCCTGCCGTCGACGCCGCCGTTCCTCGCCCTGCAAGCGCCGCCCTTCCCGCGGCGGGCGGGGGCTGTACGGAGGCGACAATGGGGGGCGAGTAGCCCGTGGGCGGGCGCTACACGTACCCATCCCGAGTCCCGCCGAAGGCACGTGGACATGGGCCCCCTGGACACGTGTCCCAGAGAAGAGCGAGTTGAGACAACGGCATTCGTCCTGAGACCCCTCCCGGGATCAATTTCCCGAGCTGCGTCCAGCCGTATGGCGACGAGGGCCCCCCCGACGGCCAACTGCTGTTGTCTCAACTTGCCCTCCTGAATGCCGGTGTTCCCCCCCGTGGGCCGGTTCGCTCCCCTGTCGTCGCCTCCGAGGCTGTGGCCGTGTCCTGCCCCGGCTCCAGCGCAGCGGCGAAGCGGCGCAGGGCCGCCAGGGCGCCGCTGATCGTGCCGCCGGAGGCCTGGGGCGGCATGGCTTGAGCCAAGGTGGTCACGAGAGAGGGGGGGGTATCGACAGGAGACGGAGGGGGAGAGGAGGGGGTACGGGAGAATCAGGTTGCAATTCGGAGACACAAGGTCAGCTCCTGAAGGGCTCCAATACCACGCAGGAGCCCCTCGATGGCCTTCCTAGCCATGGCGTGCAGGCCGCCTCCATGTGTGCCGCCGCATTGGCTGAAACCGTGTTGGCACTACGCCAACGTTCTGACAAACGTCCGAGAGACGCTCGGTGCGAGTCTGCCCCGTGCGATGGAGACATACCTCAAAATCAGACTACGATCAGCGTCGCGTAAGCTCATGCTCCCCTTCAACCAACGGCAGTACAGCATAGACTAAATGAAATAGAATGGCAATGATAGAGACATCTCAGGGCATTGTCGCGTAGCTATCACGTATTGACGGGCGAACTGAATTCAATGGTGAAGAACACCACACGTTTGCAAAATCCACGCGGTGGGGCGGCCGCGCCGACCCAAGCGCGCAGCCGCAAGCTAGCTTGGCGCGACCGGCGCGCACGCGGCGGCGCTGACCGCTCGGCACTTCCCAGCGGGCACTTCAGGGCGAGTCGTAGACGCCGCGATGCTTCTAGCGATGCTGGTGACGACGCTGACGGCGACGGCGGGGCAGCCAGTGACGGCGCTGGTGCTGATCGCGCCGACGACGATGACAGCGTCGTCGCGTCGGTGATGAAGGTGTTGGACGGAGTTCGAAATGCGCGCGCGGCAGACGCGCGAGTGGCCCGAATGGCATTATTTGAAACGGATCGTGCCACACCAGCACGCCCGCGCGCGAGGGCGTTCGGACGAGTTCGACATGCGCGCACGCGCGAAACAAAAAACAACATCTGTTCTTAAGAATTCGCAGGAGCGCGCGCAAGCCGTTGTTTGGGGAAATCCGCGTTGGGACACCATGTAAGTTTGGTGTTTTTCTTGCGCGCTCTATTTTGAAATCCCTACGAAGCCGAGTGTGTTTGATAGAATTCGGCATGCGCGCGCGACGACGCGCGCGCGTGCACTTCGTCTCATTTATGTTCGCAAAGGTTTCTTGATAACTTTTGATGCGCGAAGAGCGAGCGAACGCATAAAATGCGGCGCAGAAGATGGCGGGGGGGGGGGACGCCGGCCTGCCTGGGTCGATAGTGGGGGGGAGGGGCGGTAAAGTTTATTTGGTTTTCTTTTTAGAAAAGAGAGTTCAGTGCCATCCGCAACGAACTCACTGCTCGCGCAACCATCCCACCCACCCACCCACGCGCAACTCGGTTTGCAAAACCCATGCGGTGGCGATTGCGATGGGTGCTCGGCGTTGGCTGGTGCATCTCTGCGGCCGCACTAGCCCGCGCATGCTCGCGCGCGGATCGGCCAGTTAGTTTGGCGCGATCGACGCGGCCGCGGTGGCGCTGACCGCTGGGCATTTCCCAGGCGGGTACTTCTTGCGAGTCGGCGAATTGTGCGGGCGCGGTATCATGGTAACGTCGACAACGGTAGACGCGACGGTGGTAGTGGCGATGCTGGCGACGGTGATGGCAACGACGACGGCAAGGCCAGCGATGGTGTCGACGCTGATCACGCCAGCGACGATAACGGCGTCCTCGCGTCGGCGAAGAAGGTTTGAAGGTTTTGGGACAAGTTCGACATGCGCGCGCAGCCGACGTGCGAGAGTGGCCCGCCTGGCGTTTTCTGACGCAGACCGCGCCCCCCCCCGCCCAAAGCACGCGCGCGAGGGAGTTCGAATGATTTCGACATGTGGCGCGAGAGGCATCTTTGGCAGAATTGAATGCACATAATGAAGAGCCGATGGTTTTCATAGGGGTTCGCAGGGGCGCGAGCGCAGCCATTTTGGATAACTGCTGTTGCAACACCATGTGTTTGTTGTGCACGCTGTTCGGGACACTAGATTCTGAATTGGACTACAACGTGGGCCTGTTACTATAGAGAGGGTCATGGAACAAACGTTGAAGCACAGTTTATGCAAATCTGTGTATACGCGGTCTGGCCAAGCGGGACGGCGTCAACGCGACGCCAAGGAACGTCGTGGGCTCGAGCATTTGGCCTGAAAACACGCCGCGCCCGACTACCCAAATCATGAAGTCCTGCAGCCGGTCACTACGTTCTGGGGGGTGCACGGACACGTGGAACACTGATAGGCTAAGCGTGAGTTGGCGCCCGCTTCATCCCCATGCCCCATCCCCCGCATCCTCTCAATATCCCTTCGTTTTGAGCCCAACCTCCTCATGCCCCTCCGACAACCCCCAGTCTTCATCGTGCCCCTCATCCACATTGTCAACCCCCCATGTGCCAGTTCATGTCGTTCCTCGTCCTCCCCCGCCGGATGAGTTCCCCATCGTCCACATGCCTGCCCTCCTCCCATCCTCTCCGCCCTAGTGCAGATCACCGCCCCTGCCCCCCCCCCGCCCCCCTCGCCCCCGGGATGCTGACGCGGATGATGCAGCTCCTCCTGGGCCCATTTCCCCCCCTCGCGTCCTGCCCCTTTTCATCCCTGGCCCCTTCGCCACCCCTCCTATCGAACCCCTTCATTCCCATGGCCCACCATCCCCAGCCCCCCGCGCCTCTGCGTTCCCAGACAACGGCCCCTTCCTGGGCCAGCCGGGAAGTCCGCGGAAACCCCCACCCGGTGACCACTCCAGCGAGCGGCGCGCAACATATGAGACACGAGCTGTGTATTTCGCGACCGCGCGCGACGCCCTCCGTGGACCAGCCGAAAGGGAGACGCGAAAGTTCCCGCCCAGCCAACACTACCCGCGAGGGGCACGGTCCAAATTCACAGAATTGAGCAAGATCTGTGTGCACAGATCACACCACGATTTGTAAACAATGGACCGACACACGAAAGTACACAATTGAAGACACCAACTGTGTACACATATCACACCTTGATCAGTGTATTCCGAAAATGTAAACGCTCGCCACCTCATTGGCACCCCGGCTTGCCCAACCCTGAACCGAAGCCGACATGCCCAGCTAGGAGGGAATGCAAATACACACTTCCCCGGCCCAAGGCGCCCCCGAGGGAGCTGCAAATACACGCTTCCTTGGCCCAGCGCGTCCACGGTGAAATGCGGCATCAAAGCGGCCCGCAACGGCCCGAAAACATGTCAAAAAGGCCCCGCAAGACCCCGCATAAGGCCGCATAACAATCCGAAAACACGAGAGGTGTCACGTGTCACGGACCTTTTAACAGTCAAAGCCCCACGCGTCGCCGCACAGACCGCCGCGCTGGCAAGGCGGGGGGAACCTTGCCGCGGGCACCTGTACATGTTAGCGATACTAGTGTGTTTGGCGGCCGTGCCGCCCGCGTGTGAAGTGCGCCCCGAACGCTTGCATTCGCAATCCCCACTGTTTGGCTGCGCCGCTGTGCTCGGGTATCGAAAATGCAGTATGCCGCTGATGCGGGCACGCGGCATCAGGGACTTCACCCCCCTTCTGCGAACAAGGAGGGAAGATGAGGTAGGACGACGGACGATGGAGCAGGGAGGCAAAGAGGACGAGGAATAAGTGGGGAGGTGGAAAGGGGCGCTCCCCCCCCCGAGCCGCAGACGCTTTCGACACCATCCAAGGGGGGGGGAACAAACGGGGGGGGGGAGCAAGGGCGAAGACGACGACGGGAAGCAAACTGTCCTCGGTCCGCACATAGCCATGCGCTTGCGATTCGTGTGCGCGCGGTTTCTTCGAGGCACTTCAACCCCGACCCATGCTGGATTCACGCTTTCCTCCGAACTGTGTAAACACTCTATCCTCTGTACCCCCTCCTATACAACTGCCTCATAACAGAGGGGCAGTGTATTCCAAATTCTGAAATCCCTACGGAACCTAAGGTTTGGTGAAGGATTTCCGCATGCGCGCGCGACGGCGCGCGCTTGCACTTCGTCCCATGTTGTGCCAGGGTTTCTTGCGACAGCACGCGCGCAAGGGGGTTCCAGCGATTTCGGCATGCGCGCGCGAAAAGCACGTTCGGTAGCATTTGACGAACATGTTGAAAACCAATGGTTTTCTTAAGAATCTGCTGAAGCGCGAGCGCAGGCATTCTGTTTGAACATCCGTCTTGGGAAACCATGTATTTTATATGTTTGTGGGGCACTTGATTTTGACATCCTTACGGAACCCAACGTAGCTGAAGGATTCAAAGCATGCGCGCGCGACGACGCGCGCGTGCGCACGTCGCCTCATTTGTTGCAAGAGGTTCTAGAAAACTTACCACTTGTGATAAACGAATGTGCGCGCAGATTGGTCTTTGCAGGTGAGGGACGGGAGGGGGGAGACTGGCCTTCCTGGGATAGTATGAGTTCATACCTATGATGGGCGATGGGGCAAAATCCCATGTACATGGCAAGGCGAAAAGGGGGAACGTTAAGTCCAGGGTGGGGGAGATCCTGATACTTGCATAGGGAAGACACTCCACCTGGTGCAATCTACGTTGTGCAGTCTATGCGGTGCGATCCATGTTGGGCAATCTATGTATTGCAATATGTGCGCTGCAATCTAAGTTGTGTAATCTAGGAGGCGACGGGGCGGCGGTGGCGCCAACATAGCCGCCAGAGCAGCAAACAGGCCCAACCGACGAGCGGCGACGAGGCGGCGGCGTGGGGGCGACGCCGGCGACATGGCCGCAAGAGCGGCAGACAGGCCCAGAGGATGGGCGGCGACACGGCGGCGACGGTGGAAACATAGCCGCCAGAGCGGCAAACAAGCCCAAATGACGGGCGGCGAGGAGGCGGTAACGGGGCGGAAACGGCGGCAACATAGCCACCAGAGCGGCAGCCAGGTCTCGTTCCATTGGCACTAAGATTAAACCCCAAAAGTACAGCAAGCACTGCATGGGGAATAAGCCAGACATCGCATCACACATCATACTATAACATAACATAGCAGAGCATGCCATAATACAGCCTCACAGACAATACCACACCATGGTATAACAAACCATGCGATGGCAGAACGTGGCATGTCATAGTATAGCGTAACCTAGCATGAGGGGCCATATACCAGACTGTTTCTACGAATGCTACCACTACGACGACAAATATAGCATTGCGCAAAGTAGTTAATTAATTGGAACGGCAGATATACCATCACAGTACATTGCATCACAACCTGCGCAGATCATAGCATCACACAGCATACCAAAACTAACGAAATCACACCACATCATAACACTACATAGCGAAGCATACAATAGCACAACATCACGGACCATATCATGACACTGCCTAAACACATTATACGGCATAATGGGACATGGCAGCGTATCACATTCCCGAAACTACCAGAACATGCCATGCCTGTGTTTACGACTGCTTCCACTACAACATCGACTAAACCGTAACAATCATGTAGTTCAAACCGTAACAATAATAGAGTTCATATCTGAAGAAGAATAAACCATCGTAAAGTACGCCATATCGTAATATGGTGTAATCTATGGTAAACCAGATCATGCCAGCTAGAAACACCTACAGATCTTACATGCAAATTCCTCATATCAGTGGGGGATATACTACATCTGACAGTCACATGGTATAGTCACGCAAAAACGCACACACACACACACAACTTCGCGGCCCCGCGGGCGACGCAGGGTGCGGCGGGGGAGCCAGCCCACCTGTTCACGCGCGCGAGCACGACCAGGAGAGATAGCGGAGGGAGGAAGGAGGAGGAGGAAGAGGAGCAGGAGGAGGAGGAGTAGGAGGAGGAGGTGGAGGAGGAGGAGGAGAGAACGAGGAGGGAGGAAGAGAGGGAAGGGACGAGGACTACGTACCAGGGAGCCCGAAACACATGTGGGCGGATCCCCACGTGGAGCATCCAGAGGCCATTCGCAGAATACATAATTAGAGATCGGGCGCAACACGCCATACGAGGGCAGGCGCTGGAAAGCCATGCGGCCACATGTGCATCCAGCTATCGCGTAGGGCTGGCCACGACATATGCATCCAGCTTCGTGGCGGGGGGGGGACTGGGAAGAGGAAGGGGGGGAGGGGAGGGGAGCGGCAGACGCTGCCACTCGCTCCTCGATCCCCAGGGTGGCCCTGCCAGCACCCCCGTCGGGAACCGTCCGCATCCTTTTGCTCCGGCCGCCGGGGGGGGCTTCTATACGTGGGCGCCCAGCCCGCCGCCTCCTCCCACGCCGCCACCAAGACGTCGTCGTTGTCGGCGTCGTCGTCGTCTTCCTCCTCGTCCCGGTCGTCCTCGCCATCGCCGCCACCGGCGTCGTCGACGTCGGCCCTCCTCCTCCTTCTCCTCCTCCTCCTGGCTTCCCCTCCTGCTCCTGGTACCCCCCCCTGCTCCTGGCGTTCTCCACCTCCCCTCTGGGCCCCATTCCTTTCTCAAGCAAACCTCCTGGCCCTCAACCCTGTGGCCTCCTTCTCCTTACCCTCCACCTCCTCTTCCTCCTTCCCCCCCTCCGCGTCGCCGTGCTCCTGCCCCTCGTCCTCCGACCTTTCACCCCCTCCCCCGCGCTCTCTCGCAGTGCCTCCTACTCTAAGCTCATCAAATTCTGCCTCGCCCTTCTCGTCCTCTTCCGGGAGGAGATCGACAACGACCCGCAAGGGGAGGTATAAAGTGTATGCTGGATTGCGCTAACTATGGGACCACGCACGGTGTTCTGGGCAGGCTGAATTTTCGCCTGCAGCAACATGACACAGCACTGTGTTACATACAGGCTCCGTTAGTCTGGTTACGTCCTTCCCACTAACGCGTAAACGACGACCTGTAGGAGGCGGGGGAAGAGGAAGGCAGGATGAGCTCTCTTGTCCTTATCCTCCCCCGTCTCCTCCAGCTCGTCCTCGCCGTCCTCGTCGTGGCCGCCGCCGCTGTCGTCCTCGTCCTCGCCGTCCTTCCTGACCCTCCGACGACTGGATCTCTGTTCGAGCCGCCGCCCTCCAGAAAGCTCGACAACACTCTCCCGGCTCCCAGGGCAACGATTCGTCCAAAATCGTGGTTTGACCATCCCCGTGGCTCAGAAACTACCCTCAGGCGGAAAGTAAGCGGGGGGCAACAAACGTGAGGGCAAGCGGGTTGCAGGAGAAGGTCCTCGATCCTCGATCGTCCTCCTTCTCCTCCTCCTCGTTCTTCTTCCTCCTCCTCCTTGTTCTCCTCGCCGTATTCATTATTTCCTTCCTTCCTTCTTTCATTCGTTCTTTCATTCATCCCTCATCTTCCTGCTCCTCCTCCTCCTCCTCCACCTCCTCGCTCCCCCCAAACTCCTCTCTTGCGCAGCCGCTCACATCTCCACAACGTCGAGCTCCACCTCGAGGTGCGGCTCCTCGCGTGGCCAGGGGAGAAGGAGGAGGAGGAGGAGGCGGAGGAGGGGGAGGCAGTGGAGGAGGCAGAGCAGGAGGCAGAGGAGGAGGAGGAGGAGGAGGAGGAGGAACAGGAGGGGAGTAGGAGTACACTCGCCTGAAAACGACGAGAAGAGGGCAGGCGAACAAGAGAGGGACGAGACGAGGACAAAGAGTGTTCCTCCTGTCCTGGCAAGGAGGAGGAGGAGGAAAGGGAGGAGGACGAGGGAGGACGAGCAGGAGGAGGAGGAGGAGGAGGAGAGGGGGAGGAGGAGGAAGAACGCCGATGAGGAGCATGAGGGGCAAGGTGGAGGAGGGGGGGGGGATGAGGCGGAGGAGGAGAAGGAGGATGGGGAGAAGGAGGAGGAGGAGGAGGAGGAAGAGTTGGAGGAGGAGAAAGGGCGAAGAGCAGGAGGAGGAGGGGAAGGAGGGGAAGGAGGAGGAGGAAGGGGGAGGAGGAGGAGGAGGGGGAGGAGGAGGAGGAGGAGGAGGAGGAGGAGGAGGAGGAGGAAGAGTTCCGTAGCCATTTTGGCTCAAGGCATTTGGCCCGGAACCATTTTGGCATCTGGGAGGCCAGAGAGTCTCGTTCCGAGACCATCTGGGCCTGCCTCAGGCGGGCAGCCAGTCACTCACCTTTGTTCACACTCTTCTCTTGGGAGAGCTGCCGCGACGTAGTATTGACAATTCCTTCAACAGAGAAATCGTGGCATAGGCGGGCACGCCTTCAACGTGCCAGAGCACGACTGATATTGCGTGCGTTGGCCAGCAGGTCACTACTCAGGGCTCATCACAGCACCATGTTTGGAGGAACGAGGCCTCAAGGAGGTCGGATCCCTGGACCAGGTGTTTTGTGGGATTGTCTACGATGTGGTCGGTACGTCAAAGGACACCATTGGTCGTGCTTATGCGGACAGAAGTATAGCGTCAATGAACAGGAACAAACCTCGGCAAGGAGCTCACTTCGTTAGAGATGGAGCAGGAGTGCGTCGCCGTCAACCCAATGACAGGGCTCCCAGCAGGTCAAGGCCAGATCCTCGTAAACAAGAAAAAGATGCCATCAAGCAGTATCACAGCAAGATTATCGTCGCCACACGAGCTGACGCTGAGATGCATCCCACGCTCCGCCATGAGTTGAATCATCCTTCCAACATTCAAGATATCAAGGCATACAAGGAGCGCATCAGGCAGAGGCTGTTTGGGTTAGGAAAGCAAGCATTGGCTACCAAGGACCTTGGCAAGAGCACGGCGGAAACAGATTTTGAGATTGCTGTTCTAAAATACATGCTGGCCACTACGGAATCCAATAACAAGCAGATTAGCGAGCTGAAGATCAAGAAAGACAAGATCCAAGATCGTGCCAAAAGTTTGCAAGACAAATTATGGAGCATGCAGGAAGAGTTAGTCCAAGTCGACAGGGAGCTGAATCAGGTGCGCTCAGCCATCATAGAGCTAGATAATGAGGATTCCGACGAGGAAATGGGTATGAGCGCAGATCCAACGAATAATGCAGCTGCAAACCATGCCATGAGAGGTGGTCCTGTGCAGCATGATATTCATACACCTCGCAACGCTGATCAAGACAAAGAGCGAATCAAGTGTGTTGTGGAGACGAGACAGTATCCAGCTGGAGGGCATCCAACTGAGAGAGCTTCAGGCTCAGGGCAGTCGTCTTTTGCAGGCCCAGCTCATCCAGCACAGCCCTTTCCGCCGAGTGTACCACATGCAGCAGGAGCCTTTCAGCCAGCCCGTGTACCTCCACCTCCAACTGAGGACATACCAGCCAATCAGTTGGACAGTCTAATACAGATCATGCAGGGAATGATGAACAAGCAACAGGCTACACATAACGTGCTCAGTAATATGGCGCAATATGTCATGGGAATGGGCACAACCATGGGTGTGGTGCCTGGTTCAGCTACTGGTGCAGTTATAGGTTCAGCTACTGGTGCAGCTATTGGTGCAGCAACTGGTGGGATGGCTACTGGTTCAGCTACTGGGGGTGCAGCTATTGGCGCAGCTACTGGTGCAGCTACTGGTTCAGCTACTGGTGGGCAGACGGGTGGTGCGGGAGTTTTTACTGCGGGGGCTCCCATGGAGGCAGGGCCCACCGCAGCTGTGGCCTCCGACGCGCCGAAGACACCTCAATGCCGTCCCAGGGCTTACTCGCCCACATCGGTGCCTGCGGCGCAGCTCTCTCCCACATGCCAGCATCCTACGCCGCCGCCAGCAGCATCTCCCACACCTGTGGCACATACTCCAGTTGCGAAGTCACCGGCCATATATGTAGCGGACGACAATGGAGCTACTCAGGTTGCATACGCGGATCAGATTTCACCCACGCAGCCGGTGTGTCACGAACCACAGGAGGATCCACTTTTGGAGGTTCCGAAAGAATCTGTCACGAGCCCAGGGAAGTGTATGGACTCGAGCCTCAATGGTCGGGCAACGGCAATGTCAGTACCAGAGAGCCCTCTCTCAGCGTCGCAGGTGAGGGCGAGGGTCGAGGAGATCGACAAAGCATGTGCGGAGAAGGACACCGACACTGCCAGTCCTCCACGCAAAGAAGCTCGATTAGAGTTGTGAATCGACAGCGGCGAGTTCTGAATTGGGGTGGCCAGCAGCTTTTTTATATGATGACGAAGGGCTCAGGTCCTTACCTCCTCCTCCCTCCTTCAGACGGGGTCCCATAAGGTCCATCCTCAAGGCCCCACCTTCTCATCCCAGCCAAGCCACATCATGCATGCAACAATGTACATCAGTTTCGGAAGCCGAATCCGAGGGGGAGGCAAAGCAACATTTTGGTCAATCTAGCAGAGGAGGAGCGGCTGTTGATGCAGCGTCGGGTAACCACGTTAGCTCCACCGCTCCCGCCCAGCAGCGTATGGAAAAAACAAATCCCAGGGGCATGTTCAGCATACATGAGTTTCCCAGGTTTGGCAAGTCACCAACGCTATCCTTTTTCGCCGATTTGTCTATAGGATGCAGCTGCTCGGGTCCAGCAGCGGCCAGCGTCCTGCTCGCACTAACCTTGACGTGGCGTATCGCCCTCCCCCACTGGCTAGACGAATGTTCCGAAGGGTACGGAATGGAGACTGGAGGGTGGGGATGGGATCATAGATACATTGATACTGTTAGAGCATCTGCTCTTTGCTTTCGGCCCTCTGCTGTGCGCGCATCCTCGCATGCAGATAGGGGTATATTGTTGTCGTCGCTCGAAACTCAACTGTCTGGCGCTCCTGGGGGTCCTGGGACCGTGGCCACCCTGGTGCCAGCAGGCAACCTTCTCAAGGGAGTTTGCACACATACTTTACATTCGAGCTACGACATTGAGATGCCCTGCCCAGCTCTTGTGCGTAGTTGCTGCAGCATGCCAGAAGAGACGCATGAATTATATGACTTTTGCTTGGACATGCTGCTGCAGGCCTGGACGAGTGAAAGCTCATCACCACGGGTTGCGCGAGCGTACGCAACACGGCGCACACTTTGGTATGGCAGTCTCTTCTCGGACTTCAGGCGTCTCTCCTCCTCCCACAGGTGATATATTCACGAATCTGTGCATGCTGCGCCGGTCGTTACAGTTTAGCCAGGTCGCGCTGCATACCCCCATTTTTGTTTCGACCCTCCTGGGGGGGGGATCGATTTCCCTCTCGGCACCCTCACATTCTCATGCCAGTAGGAGCGACACTAGTGGATCTACTATTCCCACTCCCTCATGCCTTGCTGCTGGCCCTGATAGTCTTCCAGCGCCAGTACCTGTCCCCGCTGCCCGACTAGCGTGCCGTATGGATCCACTACCCGACATTCTAATAACAGTTCTGGAGCACGGGTTTTCACATGGAGATATGATTTCAACAGCCTTGAGTTCCCACCGCACGTCAGAATTGCACTCAGCACGTGTCCGCGTCGTGAATCCGCATGGCTGGCTAAACATTATCCTACCGACGGGTCTGTGAAGGCTCAACAGCTTGACGCTGCTACATGGGGACTAGTGCAAGCAGCTGAAGACCATCATGGTTTTTCGTGCCAAGGCCATGTGTGTGGGTGGGTTAGCGACACCTGTAGGACCAGTTTGCGACATGACCACACCACCAGCACAGATGCAGAACACGTTGGAGTAATATGGGCACTACTAGCTACCATCGCCGACACCAGCATCAGGGACGTCAGCACCCACACGGACTCGATGAACGTGGTCACTGCCATCAATGGCTACCGACCCACTGATCTAGGACTTTTGGCAATTACAGCCCGGATTGTTTGGGAAGTTGCATCTAGAAGGGGGGCATCTGGAGCTCTACCACGTCAAAGGCCACGACGGCCACCCCTGGAATGGTATGGCGGATCGGGTTGCCGTTTGGACTGCCGATGATATCACACCTGCCTCTCAATTGCCCGAGCAGCTTGTTTCAATCGCCCAATGTTCCAGAGCCAGGGAATGGGAATGGTTTCGTGATGCCCCCCCCCCCCCGATGTCATGGCCGCCTATCCTGTTTGGAATGAAGGGTGGAATTGCAGCGTTCCGTGCCGAGGGCCTCGGTAGAACACGTTCAGGACCCTCCCTGTGCTATCGCTAGCACCAAGCCTTCGAAGTCCCTGGTCACATTAAAACTGTTCAGTACACTGTCGAGTCCATCGCCCAGAGGGGCACTTACGGGACCCTTGGGGAACAAAACGTAGACTTAGGTCCGAGCTGGTACGATGCCAGCTTCAGCACATGGGTGCGCACTTAATGGGATTACACAAGACAAGGAACCCCAAAGGGGAAAGACCCTGCAAGGGCTTTTTCGTCCTGTCCTCGGGCTGTGACACTTCCTCACCAGATATGGGTTTGGGAGTCGAGTTGCGGACCAACCTCCAATGCCCATATGGGCGCAAGGGGGCCAGGAACCTTGTCTCAGGCAAAACCACGTCTTGCTTGTTGCGTTAAGGGCCCCAGGGCTGGCCATGAACAGTTGCGCCGCCCATGCCCCCCGCCCCCGAGCAC